TATGGGAGTAGACAGTTGACGGACGAGGAAGGTGACAGTTGGGAACTGACGTTCCTAGAGAGGAAGCTGCTCTTTCCACTGAACCTTCTGCAAGGCTGATGAACTGATTAGAACTTCAATGATTTGGAAGGGTGCAGGTCCAGAGCCCAGTTACAATCCATCTTGGGCTATCTTTAACCCCCTTACTAGGCATTCATTACCCACCTCTGTATCTGACCTAATATCCCCTGGCTATCTGGTGAAACCTTTTGTTCCTAGAGAGGAAGCTGCTCTTTCCACTGAACCTTCTGCAAGGCTGATGAACTGATTAGAACTTCAATGATTTGGAAGGGTGCAGGTCCAGAGCCCAGTTACAATCCATCTTGGGCTATCTTTAACCCCCTTACTAGGCATTCATTACCCACCTCTGTATCTGACCTAATATCCCCTGGCTATCTGGTGAAACCTTTTGGCATGTATTAACAGACACCCAGTTTCCACCAACCTGAAAGCTAAAAATGTCATCTGATAGCATCTTTGAGGCCTTTGAGAAGTTTTGATTTATGACTTTGTTCTGTTGCTATAAAACTTCATGAAATTTACCACATCGAAACATGGAATTTGGGGTAACCCAAATCTTTGTTCCCAGGCCATGGTCACTCATGTTTGGCACCAAACTATAGTTTATCCTGTTTGAGGTGAGAGCTGTGTATTTTATATCATCACAGGAACTGAGGAGATGTGAAAATTGCCACACAAATTCCTGACTATTGCGTTAGCTTCCTCTCATCCCCTTTTCCATACTGAAGTATCTTCCCTCCATTACCCTTTCAGTTTATTTTATCTATCTATCTATCTATCTATCTATCTATCTATCTATCTATCTATCTATCTAGCTAACATCTATCTGACTATCTGTCTGTCTATCTATCTATCATCTATCTATCTATCTATCATCTATCATCTATCTATCTATCATCAATCATCTATCTATTTTTGGTCTTTTTGAGACTGGGTCTTCCTGTAGCCCCAGCTGGCCTGGAACTCAATGTAGAAGACCTGGCTGGCCTTGGGCTCACAGAGATCCGCCCGCCTCTGCCTCCTGAGCACCAAAGACAGGCGCCACCATGCCAAGATCCCTCTTATCATCTTCTAAGTCTCATCGTTCTAGTTACCTTCTAGTCTACTTCTTAAGACCGAATCAAGTTGTTTCCACATCTGGAGTCCTCGGCTCTTTTTTGGTTCTTCTTCCTTCCTTGTCCTGCCTTTTAAAAACAGCCTGTTTCCTTTTTATGGTCCAGACATTCTCCTTGATGTTCTCCATATGGAGCCACTCACTAGCTTCATGCCTGCTCTTGACATGATAATCTTCAAACTAGACACATGTCTAGCCCTGGCTGCTAAGAATTTCAGAAAAGGAAGGAAAATAGATCTGGGGAGGAAAGAAAGCCCTGGTGGCTGAGTGGCCAGGAGGCTGAAGGGGAAGCCAAGGCTCCTGGGATGAAAGACGGCACAAAGGTCATGTCTCTCCTGAAGCTTGACATACCCCCATCTCTACCTCATTTACCTCAAATGCTGATAGCATCAGCGATGCAGAAACAGAGGAGCCACGACAGGCGAGGTACTGCCCCGTAACTCTCCTTTCCATAGTTACATGGATCTCTTGCTAGAACCAGCTCTCTAGCTTCCACAAAATCATATATCTTTTGATTTATTCCTGCCAAAGTTCTGGCAAGATCACTTTAAGGTAAACAGTAGAGAATGCATGACATGCAAGGCAACCTGTTTATCCCAATAGATCAGTGTCCCAGGAGGTTGACCCATCTGCAATCACCAACAGCCAGCTCTATCCTCAGGCTTCAGTTTGGGTCTGCTCAGTTAAGATATGAGCAAATTGGAGTAGGAGAGTAAGATTATTCTACCACCTTCCTGTTTGTGTTCCTGGAGGCTGGCTGCTTTGCTGTATCAAGGATGCAACTCTGAGGGAATGACACTTTCTAGTTTCTAGTAACTGCTCCTCTCCCTTTAGCCTAGTTAACAGCATGCTTATCACCCAGTTCCACAGGGTTGCATCATCATTTCTTGTTTTGTCCAAATCCTGCCGACACCTTACCGAATGTGCCTATTAAACCTGCTTCAATTACCCAGCTTACTGCTGTCGCCTTTGATCCTGGATTCTGATATACAGGATGGGATCCAGGAGCGTGGAAAGGTACAGAAGGGGAAGATTCATAAACTGAACTTTTTGTAGAAGCACAGAAACATGAACTCTGAAGCCCAACTAGCTAAGTGATTGACTTACCTAACTTTTCGGATGCCAGTTTTCCTAGACTCACTCTGGGGGACATATGGACCTGCTGGGATTGTGGAAGTGAGAGAGTGTACCTGACAGCAGCAGCACAGGGCCTGTCACGTGGCAGGTGTTCCCTGCAGGAGCTACTGATGGTGCCACACACTAGGCTCTTCTGAGTTCCTTACTCAAGTGAAGACACAGTAGGATTGAGAACACACTATAGGACTGTGCTTCAGGGGAAAGTTTTCCTGTGTTAGACTCGTCTTCGCCCTCTCTTTCTCACTTGCTTTTGTCCACTGATTGCTTTCTCACTGATCCCTGGATGTGTAAACTGGATTTATTTTTCTTACTTTGTAGAGAGGGAATAGGATGGAAAGGAGTCAAAGACAGACAAGAATGAAGTCAGGAGACTTTGTCCACATTAAGGCCATTTGGGCCATCACAGTGGAAAATCACGGAAGGGGCAAACTGGGGAGGAGGCATGAGTCCCAGGGCACACCCTTTCTTCATTTTTCCACTAAGCCTGGGATAATATGCCAACTGGGTGGGGGGCAGGGCAGTTACCCTGCTCCCCCTCAATTCCAGACCACCTGCTTTTGCATGGTTCTTAGCAACTTTAAGGGAGGCAGGATGTTACAGAGGTTACTCAGATCGAAAAGAAAGGGCAGGCAGAAGAAAAGTCACTAATCACTGGCAAGCCAAGTAATCACCCTAGGAATTTATCTGGCATCTTTACCCCTCTCTAAACATACTGATTTTTAATCCTTCTGCCTGAGACAGCCAGAGAACAGCTCAGAGAACAGCAACAGCGTCCCTGAGGCCACACAAGGCTCAGTGTGAAGAATAGGAAGTTGATGGAAACGGGTTCCACGTGGCCTGATGATCAAGAGTCTGCTCGGCATGCTGTGGGTGGCCAACAGTAAGCACTGGGAGTAGAGTGAGGTACTTAGTGTAGGAGAAATATCTTTCTGTGTGCTTTCTGTTTCTAAAGGTCTTTCCCTCTAAATGCTGGGAGCACTGATCTATTTTTTCAGCTCCTGTGAGAAAGGTGGGAAGGGGTTGTTGAAGCTTCTAGGAAACTAGGAGAATTATATTATAATTAAATTATAATGTGACTGAATGGAAAAGCTAAAACAGGCATTTTATTATACACAATAGCAAATCTAGAGTGATGGCCTTTATACCAATTTTCCAGTTAAATAGACACTCAAACCAAATATATTATATATATATAAAATCTGGGCTCCAGTCCATGGGGATGATGCCTAATAAATGTTCCATCTCTTTGAAAATAATGTCGGAGGGCCTCTGGGATATGGAGAAGTCCTCCTTAGTTAAGTCCATCAAAGCAGTGAGGAATCTCTCAGGCCCATAAAGCAATAAGGGCCATGAAGGCAAAACCAGTAGCCACACAGCCCCACTTGGCCAGAGGGGCCTCGGGACTAGCCAGTTCCCGCGGCAAAATTTCTAGGAAGGTGACATAGAGGAATGTGCCAGCTGCTATCCCCTCTAAGAGAGCTTGGGCTAAGCCCTTCTCTGCTGTAGAGTCCCCTCTAGCCACACTCAGCCCTAGGGCTAGGCCCAGGGGGGACATGAGAGCTAATGACAGTATGGAGAATATGGCCCATCGTGGCCCAGTGCCAGTCTTCACCAGCCGCAGTCCGACACCAAACACTATGAGCCCCTTATGAGCCAGAACAGCAATGCAGAGCTTGACAGTGGCTGCGACTGTTGTCTGAAGTCCCACAGCTAGACCTTCAAATACTGAGTGAAAGGACAGCGAGACCAGAAGGACGAGGGCTCGCAGGGGACTCTGTGAGGGACACAGCACAGGTGGGTGCTTATGGAATCCAAAGACCTGAGTCCCTCCCCATTCCTTCTCCTGTACTGTTGATTCTCCAGCAGCCCCAGGGCAGCACTGCAAGGCCAGTGACTCCAAAAGGAAGACAAAGAAAAAGCCCAGGGAGATGATGAGCTCTCCAAAGGGATACTCCACCTAGGAACAGAGAGATGGGCTGTAAGCCGGGGAAAAAGGAGAGGGGAGACTGGGAAAATGTGGTAACAGAAAAAAGGGGTGGGGAGTAAAGCACAGAGCAGACGTGCAGAAGCGAAAAACACGGGGAGTGGGACCCAGGACACAGTGCCACTGGGGTTGGAAACATGCGAAAACACTGTCAAGTATATCCAAGGGTCCAGGGGGAGAAGAAGTGAAGCAAGAGCTCTTTCTGGGGATCCATAAGCAAAAGGACTAGGCTGGCACCTTCTTTCTCAATGCTGTCTGAGCTGGGAGAAGAGACTCCTACTGTCCTTCCCATATTCCTTTCAAAAGGATGTGAACATGAGCAAAGTCAGGGCTGTCCTCACCCTTTGTGGGCGGGGGGCTAGTGGGGATACTTACATGACCTGAAAGAGCAGCATCAGAAGAATTTCCTTTACTTCCTGTCCCATTCTAGGGAGAAAGAAACAGATGTGATGAAGGATGAAGCTTCCTGTCCTGCTTGGCTTCCTGTCCTGCCCCTTCAGCAATGAAGCTTTCCTAGAAGCCTGGCCCAGCCCAACCAGCTCCCACCAGTCCATTCAAGCGCTCTTATCCTACCTCATCCTGGGCTCTATCCCTCCCCCAACTGCCTTTCTGCGTTCCATTCATTATTCTCATAGCCCTGTTGCTCCACGTCTCTGCTACTCACCTGCACCATAAACTTCTGGATCTCTGGGTCAATTCTGTTCAGGGCGTCCACGCTCATATGCATTAACCCTGCTCCCAGGAAAACACCGGCAGAGACACAGCCCAGGAGGTTGAGGACCCTGTGTCGATGACCTAGTAAACAAAAGCAGAAGTTATCATCTGGTTTGCAGTGAGATAAGCAGAGGTGACTGAAGAGCGACTGGCAGCACTTAAGGTCATTGGGGATGTGAGAGACTTAGAACAAGGGATCAGGAAAGGGCTGAGGTAAGGGACTAAGATGGAGTGGGGCTGTACCTGTGGCCGCATCCATCTGGAACCACTTGACGGAGATGGGAACAAGGCCACAGCCCAGAGTGAGAGCCAGCAGGGCAAACAAACAGCCAACTTTCACTCCCAGTAGTGTCTCCATTGCCGTAGGATAAGCAGAGACCTCAAAATGACAAATGGGATGGGAGTGGTGGCGGCAGCAGCCAAAGCTGGAGTCCCCTGGCGTAAGTTCCAGCTGCTATTCTCCTGTTCTGAGTAGCCCAGGCTTAGGAGGCACTGCATAGCTGACTAGGGATCAGCCCCAGCCACCAGTCCTCCCACTGCCTAGAGGCCCCTCCCCTGGCTCACGCCTTCTAAAACTTCTAAACCAGAAACTCCAGACTCCCTGCCAGGCACAGTTCAGTGAAGTTTTCAATGCCATGACTAATCCAAGAGCTCTGGAGTCTTAGCTCATGTCTGGGGTTAATCTAACCCCAAATGGGACAATCTATGGTAGTTACATCCCAGTTATGTTGTGTGTTGGGGGGGACGGGGCAGTTTGTTCCTGCCACAGTCAGGATATTTGAGCTAAACCTCCCATAGTCTTCTAGGTTGCTCTGCTGATACCTGAACCCAACCCTTTCAGAGGGGATTTGGGGCTACTTGGGGTAAAAGGCGTGGTGAACAGCGGGGCTGGTGTTATTCTGTGGGAACTAGCATGCGAAGGGACTCCCCTTTCCTGGAACTCCAGAAAAATAGCTCCAGGCAAGGGCATGTCTAGTGGGGAGTGGAGATTCCTAGTATTACAACATGGATACCTTTACAACTTTTGACTCTGTCTGTGACCATAACGAAGCCCTCATAATCAAATTGGTAATTTTTGTTTTGTAAGAAATTCAAACAGTTCTCCCTCCCTAAAGTTAAAAAAACAAAACCCCAAACAAAGAAATGAAGCCCAGGCAGGGTATATTCATCATCTGGTCAAGGTGAGTTATACCATGTCCCTGTTGCTGTTCCTGTAATTACCAGCTGCTAACCTTGTTATTTTCATCACACAGGATGATTTACAAGCAGATGTGCAGAACTGTAGCTAGCTCAGTGACTCATAAAAGGTCCACTAGATCCAAGGTCTGAAAACCTTGTTTTTTGTCAAAACTTGTGTGTGCAACTGCCAACTCAGCCCATTCCCCTTTCCGTGCTTTCCCCCTATAATTGTGCTGAGGTGAGACAGATTTGGGGGTGCCCTTGCCTTTCTGGTGGGACCTTCTTGACTGAACTGTACTCCAAATACCAGAGTTCAGTGATCAGCTGGCTGTCATGCACTGGGCACACAAACCTGACATTTGGGGTTTGGAAACACTTCCGGGTGTGAACTGTGAGGTAAAGTTGCTCTACAAAGAAATCAGGAAAAATGAACTCAACAAACAAGAAGTATCCTGGCTGGATACAGATTAAGGGTAGAGATAGAGAGGGAAGGTTCCGGCCTGGTGGGGATCAATCTCGCAGGAGATGTATGAGGCAAACTCCAGGGTAGGTGACCATGGGAAAGAAGTCAGCCATTAAGCCTCTCCACTCAGGTCTCCATAACTACCTAGAGACCTGTTCAGAGTTCTTGGAGGGCCAAGGGTGGTCTTCCTCACTACCCTAGGTTACCTCCCCAGGCCATGTGGACTCTGGTAGCAGTGTTCTTGCAGGAGAGTGACCTTGAGCTTTGTGTGGAAACCCTAACAATGCAAATCTCAAGAGTCTCTTTTCTATAGGACAGGCCAGAACGACTGACCTTTTAATAATCAAAATCTACTTTTTCTTAAAAAATTTATTATTAAACCCTTCCTCATTAATGCATCACTTAACTCTCACCAGAGAAGCTCCCTTATGCAGCAGAAACCTACAACTGGCCAATGTGCAGAGAACAAGAGTATTTACACCTACATCAAACAGGCTCAGAGATCACTGTAAAAGAGGGGGTGGAAGGATGGTCAGGAGCCTGAGGTAGCAGATGACCATAAGGAAACAGTTTTCTGGACAGCTGGGCATTTACTCAAGAACTCACAGCAATGGTGACAGCATGCACAAGTCCCATCGCAAGCTCAAACCAGACAGAATTCTAGCATAGATGTGGGGAAGTGGGAAAGAAACTCCAACCCTGCCTTAGGAACTATGGGAAACTGATGGGAGAGTCAGAGCCAATCCCTTTTAAGGGGTTGACTCTCAGTAGGGTAACCAAGCTCCAGTGGATGGACCCATTTCGAAGTGCATTTGGGGACACAAGTTTGACTCTATAGGCCTTTATATATATAAATAAAGTGGAATACATAAAATTGGGTGGGCGGTAGTAAGGTGGTGCAGATAGGAGAGTGCATCTAAATGCAATCAAAATATATTGTATGAAATTTGCAAAAAATCAATAAAAAAAGAAAAATTTATTATTAACATTTCAAACAAATAGAGGAAACGGGTACAGCAGTCCCTTCCTGGATACCAGGAAGCTTCAGCCTGGGCAGGTATGATGGGAGGAAATACTTGTTATACATCCTTGTCAAGGTTCAGGGGATCTTCAGCAGGAGACAGAGGAAACTCAGATGGAGTGATCACAGGCAAAAGGTCTCCCCAGGAGCTGACGCGGGCACAGCGGTACAGATCCCTGTGAAGAGAAGGGACGTCAACACGAGCTGCAGGTTCTTGCCATACTCTGACTGTGGTCGCAGCTCCTCTACCTGCCATGCCGGCGGGCTGTAATGACAGCATGCTGCATGTGCCCATCTGGACAACAGAGGTGACAGTGCACATGGCGAGGCCGTTTAAGGATGGGCTGAGTGATACGGGGCCAGCGATTAGCCTCCTCTGGCGATCCCCTGGCAAGGATCACCACAGAGAATGTTTCCTCCTTCGGCTTCTTATTCTAAAAGAAAAATACAGGTAGAGGGAAAAACCTTTTAGCTCCCTTTCCCTCTCATTCTGTAGTCCTTTCTCATGAGATCACATGAGGAAGGACTTGTCGCTGCATTCTGAGAATACATACCCAGCTGAAGGGGATGGGATGATAGGCCTGCGAGAAGCTACAGGCCAGGGGCTTGGAGGCTGTCAGCTGAGGACAAGGAAGTTCATGGGGACACTGCAAACACACAAGACAAAAGACCCATCAGTAATAAAGCTGAGCGGGTGAGATGGCTCAGCGGCAAAAGGTGCTCGTTGCACAAGCCTGAATTTGAGCTCCTGAACCCAGAGTGGAAGGAAAGAACTGACTGAAAGTTGTCCTCTGTTCACATGCAGCCCCCATCATACATACACCTATACATATCACACACACACACACACACACACACACACACACACACACTCACAAAGACAAAAAAGAAATTTAAAAGTATCTAGAAGCTGGGTATGTTAGCGCATGCCTTTAACCCCAGCACTTGGGAGGCAGAGGTAGGCAGATCTCTGTGAGATTGAGGCCAGCCTGGTCTACATAGTGAGTTCCAGGCCAGCTGGGGCTACAGGGAGACACTATCTCAAAAAAAAAAAAAAACAAACAAACAAAAACAAACCCAAGAAAAAAATATCTAGAAATAAAGGCTATAAAGCACATTACAAAATATAAGAAACTGAATAAAGGGTCAAGAGGATGGAAGAAGGGAGCACAGGAGCGAGGGGTAGGGAAGCCTCAGGGAGCACTAGGTAGAAGCAGATAAGGACAAAGAAGAGGGCAGTGGCTTAAGCTCATCCTCTAGCTCTTCTTGGCTACACAGAAGTTCAGATCTGTGTGAATGAACAGGAGGAAGTGGTACTCACTGGGGCAAAGACAAAGCCAGGTCGAGGGTCCACAGGTGACTTCTCTTTTCCCTGAAATCGAATAAATAAATCTGGGCCCGTAGGATCTATTTTCATAATTCAATCTCTGAACTTGGTAAACTGAGGACTCTTAATTATACTTCTAAGAATGCTAATTCTAAACATGCTCAGTCTGAGTTAAGCTGGTTATGTCACTAATGCGCCAACAAAGAACTCTGTCTTTGCAGCAGCAGAAAGGCAGGAACTGGGCACAGTGTTGTACTCTCCCATCAGCAACCTCTACTCCAGCACAACTAACTTTAGGATTCTACAGCGGCTCACACTGTCTCAAAGACAAGGTTCTTGGCTTTGCAATGCCTTCCATCAGGAGTCAGCAAGTACTTATTTTTATTATTTTGGTCTTTTTGAGACGGTCTCCGCATAGCCCAAGCTGTCCTGGAACTCACTATGTGGACCAGGCTGGCCTTGAACTCACAGAGATCCTCCTGCCTCTGCCTCTCAAGTACTGTGATTAAAGGCGTGTGCCACCACGCCTGGCTAATTTTTTTTTTTTTTTTTTTTTTTTTATGTGTATGAGTGTATTGCCTGCATGTATGTCACTGTACCTGTGTTGTGCGGTGCTTGAGGAGGACAGAAAGCACTGGATCCCCTGGAACTGGAACTAGGAACAGTTGTTAGCCACCATGTGGGTGGTGAGATTCAGCTTAACCAGCTTAACTCAGAGCATGTTTAGAATTAGCATTCTTAGAAGTATAATTAAGAGCCCTCAGTTTACCAAGTTCAGAGATTGAATTACAAAAATAGATCCTACAGATTCAAACCTAGGTCTTCTGCAAGAACAGTCAGTGCTCTTAACCACTGAGCCATCTCCCTAGTCCCCAAACTACTTATCTTCAAAGGTCCCATGATTACCAAAATCTGTCTCCATCCTAAGTACTCAACTCTGCAGTATGCAGTGTGAAATCTGTTGCAGACAACCTCACCTGAAGGACCAGGTTCCTGGCATCCATGAGAAGTCGGTGCCCGGCTTTTGTTCCATTCTCCAGTAATACCTGTTCACAAACAAGGAAAATAAGCAAAGCTTGGATGATACAAAACAACTGTTGCTACTTCCGTACAAGTGTGGCAGAGGGAAGTGCGCATTAAGTATAAGGAAAAGACACCCCAAAGGACCTGCACAGAGATCTATAAAGCAGAAAAATACCAAGAATGACGACAAGGGGCTGGAGACATCTCAGCAGTTAAGAGCACTTGCTGCTCTTCCAGAGGATCTGAGTTCGGTTCTCAGCCTCCACACTGGGCAGCTCACAACTCCAGCTCCAGGGGGAGCTGAAGCCTCTGACCTCCTAGGTACAAGCACATGCACATACCCAAACACAGACACAGCCAAACATATAATTAAAAATAATACATCTTTAAAAGAAAAATGAAGACGATGGAAAGGAAAGGCATCAAACCACGAAGCAGCTTCAAAACTTGAAGGGAAAAGGATTTCAACTCACCAGAAAATGGCTTGTCTTGCGCCACAAGGTCTGAACTACCTCAGCACGATCAGCCCTGCTGGGTAGCTCACTTAGGGCAAAGGCCGATACCACTACATCAAACTGGACCTGAGGATGAAGACAGGGAGCACAAGGACATGACACTTCCCGCTTCCAAAGTACGGAAAATTCCTAGTCTCAAGTCCCACCGCCTCCGAAACCTTTCATTACGGAGCCCAGACTGGACCTCAGGTAATCCTCCGGTCTCAGCTTGTGAGTGTTGAGATTACAGGTATGCACCACGATCCCTAGTTTTAAATGTTTCCTATTGCTTCCCTCGATCTTCTAATGATCAGTGATGGATTGCAAAGCTGAGGCCACATCTGCCACTTTCCACAGTAATAAGACTCTGAACACTGCTACTTGCCTTGGGTGACACAGGTAGAAACTGTCTGAAAAAGACACCTGGAACGTAAGGCTTCCCTGACTCTGAGCCACCTGCGGAGGAGAGACGTGGCAGCTGAGAGCGCATATGAAATTTACAGCCAGAAGTTTCTAGTCAGTTAAGAAACATGCTGCCAAGAATAAAAATGCCAGCTGAGAGATAGAATACTGTTAAGCAAGCAGTTAAAAAGACAGGGAGCATATTAGTTCCCCTGACCTTATCCAACCCATCCGCAGTCCAGCAAAGGCCTCTAACACTGTTTCATCCCAATAATAGAAAGCAGCTAGACTCAAAGTTTACAACTTTCCTCTACTTCCCAGCAGAGCGTTTCCTAGCACCTTCTGCTCCCTCAGCTTTGAGAAGCTCTCCGTGTGTATGTCCTGTGCTCACCTTTCAGCAGCTTCTCAGCCAAACCCAGCATGGCTGTTGAACTATCGACACACATGTATTCCCGGAGGCTCTGGCCCCAAGTACTGTGAGCAGCCCTGAGGTGAAGATGAAAAGCCACTGATTCTCATGACAAAGTCATTCCTACAAGAGCCCCACCTACTCTGGGGAGTCACAGTGTTACGTTAAGACAGAGAACCTAACAGCATTATTTTCTTATTGCACTCTCAACTTCTGAAAAAGGGCAGACTCAAAAACTGATTTGTGGGCAAAAAAATTTGGACTGGCAGCTAAAAACCCATTCCTTATACTAAATTCCTTTCTCTTTTAACTTTTCTAAATACTTAGTTTTTTAATTTGCCACTTTAAATTCTGGCCCTAACCCAAACACCTTCTGTCTTGCCTGTTCTGAGGGAGGTAACATTCTAGGCCCAACTTTCTTATTCCCCGTCTACTTTCTCAGTTTTTTTTTTGACAGTGAAGTGGTACAGAAAGTCTAGAGCTACGACTGACAAAGACAAATGAAGAAAGTTACTTACCAGGTAACAGAACCAGTGCCAGAGCCAAAGTCCATTATAGTTTGTGGCTGGAACTCTGGAATTCGAGCCTGAATCTGAAGAAACAGACAAGAGAGGGTAAGTTAAGTCACTTAGCGCTCTGGAAAATAGGTGAGAGGTGAATGTATTGAGATTCAATAAAGATACTTTGAGATTGGAAACTTCTAACCCAGTGATTCTTAACCTTCCCTGAGCCACACAAGTCTTTTCAAGGATACAGAGAACCATTTAAAAGAATGTGTATACAACATCCAAAGAACCCCTACTGTAAGATTAACTTATTGGTAACAAAGCCAATGATAAAGGGCTCAGGTGGGAAGCTGAACAGATTTTCACCTCATGGAACGCCCTGGAAACCGCTGCAAAGCCACCATCCAGTCTTGCCGCCATGTAGATCAGGCTCAGTTCTTCATTGTAGCTGCCACGAAAATCAGAGTCACACCCACCCGAACGCAACCTCAATCCCCACAGTTACCCCTCAACTTCAAGGAAATGAAATTTTTGCAAAGGACTCTTCTGGGTCACCCCTTTCACTCCCAGCACATAAGGTCCAGGTAGCTTTAAACATGGAGCTGACTGAAGCGCCCAACTCTCCTCCAGCTCAACCTTTCTTCCGTACCCTTCCATACCTCAGCTTCTGCCAATGGTAGGTAGTTCTGCGAAGGGCATGTAGTACTGCTCCACAAAGCTTCTCCTCTGTCAGGGTTGAGTCTGGGATGAGAACAAGGACCGGAGGTGAGGACCTAGGGAGAATAGGGATCAGATCCAATATAAACATCCTCCTACCCGATCCCTCTCACTCCCCCAAGAAAACCCTCAAAGCTGAAAGACCAAACCTAGTGAAAAGCTCCAGGAAGGAAAAACCACCACCACCATTATCAGAGTGTATCAAGTAGCATCTTACCTCTAATAGCAATTTAGCCAACTTAACAAAACCTATCCAAGTTTGCTTTGTGATAACAATAAGTTTGGTAAGTATTTTTTTACATTTGTTTTGCGCACGCATGCGTGCGTGTGTATGCATGTGTGGAGGTTGTCAGGTCCAGGTGTGTGTGTGTGTAGGTTGTCAGGTCCAGGGGTGTATGTGTGTGGAAGTTGCCAGGTCCAGGGGTGGGTATGTGTGTGTAAGTTGCCAGGTCCATGTGTGTGTGTGTGCGCGCAAGTCCATGTGACAGGTTCATAAAAATTTAAAGGCTAGGATAAGGATGAAATTTTGTGGATTTCTTGAAGTGCAAAGACAGGACAGATAAAAGGCAGATCTGCAATATGAAGCTCACAACTGAAAACAACATGAATCGGTGAATCGTAGTCATTTTCCTATCCCTGAAGAGGGTTCAGTACTGGTTCATACGTGGGTTTTATTTTCCCTGAATCAAAACACAGTCCTAATCTCCCCATGTGCGGGAGTGGAGTGGGATTGGGGGCGGGGTGTCAAGAAAACAAAACAAAGACCTAGATTTCTGACCTTTATCCAAACCCAAGGGCAATCCCTAGACTGTAGGGCATCATCGTAACAACTGCTTTTGTTGCAACATCAACTAAACTGCAGCATCTATCAGATTGAAGTATCACTGATATTTCAATCTGGTTTATTCGTAAACCCTACCTGAATTTTCAATGATTTTTTTCTCAAGCTGGGCAGCCCGTTTCCGCAACTCCTCTGGTTCCACCGGCAAATGTCGGCTCCAGAGATGATTGGTTAGTGCTTGCACCTGCTTCTCTAGACTGGGCACCGCTCTTTCTGTGGGCCACGGAGGAAAGAGTGATCACCGAGCGCCGGGCTCGCGCTTCCTCGGCTCCCCGCAGCGCTGACTCACCGAGGAGCAGCAACTGAGCGGCGTCAACCAGCGCCCGCGGCAGCCGGACGTGCGGAAGGTGCAGGATGCCGGGGTGCTGGCGATGCGGCTTCTTCCCCAGAAAGTCGGACGTGTTATCCACCTGGGTCACACCGGGCACCACCGCCGCGAAAGCCTGCAGGCGCGGAATAGAAAGAAGGCGGAGGGTCCTCGCGAGGCAGGAACGGCCCCCTCCTCCTCCGGGCGGAACTCGTTCCTGACTCCCAGTTCCCCGCCGGCAGCGGAAAGCACTTACACGGGCCCGGGGTCCCGGGAGGCTGCGGCACCACCGGCCTAACGTCAGTACGAAGCGCAGCTCTCTCCGGGTCGCCATGGCTCCCGACAGTCACCGGAAACGGAAGTGCGCCTGCCAGTGACCGTCAGCCCTACGGTGCGGCGAGCATCTTCGGCGAAACTTCGACCGGGACAGTAACAGCCAATAAGAAGAGGGAGTACTTGGGAGCAGCCAATACGCAACCTCGGTGTCAATCCTCTTGAGACGGAAGCTGTACGTGGGAGGGGCTCGGGCCGCAGCTCCAGTGTGTCTGCGGGAGGGGCGGGAACGCAAGGCTGCGCTGGGGCCGGGGCGGGGCGGGGCGGGGCTCTGGGCCCAGGCGTTCAGGGGCGCTGAAGACCGTGTATTGACTGCTTTTGTTTCCTTTTGCAGAATTCTGTCTTGGGAAAGGAAGAACACAGTAGCAAAAATCATATTTAGGTAAATAAAGACAATGAAAGCTAATGTTTATTATAGTTAACAGTTTAATAAATATTAAACCTAATTGGTTTAAGTTTTTTTTTTTTTTTGGTCTTTTCGAGACAAGGTCTCCCTATAGTAGGGCTGACCTGGAACCCACTCTGTAGACCAGGCTGGAGATCTGGCTGCCTCTGCCTCCCGAGTGCTGGGTTTAAAGGTGTGTTGCCACCACACCCAGCTGGTTTAATATTTCTTACATTTCAAACTGAACTGATCCTCATAGTTAGCGAGTACTTAGCGAGAACATGTATTACTCCAAGTACTGTGTCAAGAACGTTCACATACTATATTGGATTCCCACAATGTTACTTCACAGACTGCTGCTTCCCTCATTTTTCACATGAGTGACTTTGTGTGGTTCAATGTGCCCAAGATCACACACAGAGCTTGTTATCTGTGTTATCTGTATGCATGTGTGCACACACAGCTGAATTTAATGCTAGGGAGTCTGAAGTGTGAGTTTCATCTTTAAACAATGTGCTGTACTGGATATTATTGGTACTTGGAATGCAAATTAACTAAACTTTATGCTACATGTTCGGAAGTTTTAACATGTGACAAAACACCTCACTGTGCTGTAATCAGATTCCTCAACTGTGGTTGTGTCTTTAACCTCTTGGGGTAGAAGTCTAATTACAGGATAGAGTACTATGCATAACTGTGAGTCCAGATATAATCATTTTTAGGACCAAAATGGAGAATTATATCAGAGAATTAAATACCCGATTTGTGTCTGGGTCATGGAGATTTGAGCTTATAATACAAATCTCTAGAGCAAGACGAGGTGGGACGTGTGACTGCTGTGTGAATGTGCTGGGCACTGCTCTCCTGCTGGTCGGTTTTCTTCTGGTGTTACCCTCCTTCATCCATCGCACTTTGCATTTCTTGTGGTACTTTGCTTTTATGTTCAGTTGTTGGCTTGTGTTGAAACAATGAAATAATGCTGTCACTCATAGGTCAGGTGTAGTAGAACACTAATTATGTTATTTTTGCTGTTGTTGTAGGGAGGTAGCAGAACACAGGATAGAGTATTTGACACCCCCACCCCCAGTCTGGAATTTGGTGCTGACTTTACAGGTTTATTGTAATGAAGATTAAATAAGACAATGTCTGGGTCAGAGAAAACACTCAAATTTTGGGCCGGCCCAGCCAGTGCTGTGATTCAATAATAGTACAGGGGAAGGGCCTCCAGGGTCTGCAAACTCACCAGAACCTTCATTCACCAGAGAATAAATGACATGTAATGCCACACCTACTCAGTGTTCGAATCCTACAATGGACAACAGCTAGCTTCGAAAACTCACATTCACCTAGTACATGGCCTCCTCTGTAGGGTTTTCAGTCCTCTAAGTGTCACTGCAGGTCTAGGATGTTCTGGCACATTTGGCACATCCACAGGGCCTGTGTATAGTGCGTTCATGTGGAGGGCTGGGCTACCAGGTCTAGGGGATCTCATATCCCAGTGCCTTAAATGGATAGGCCTCCTTTTCATTGGACATCTTCCTGGAAACTCCACCTCTCGCTTCCCCTTGGCCTACTCAGTCTCTCAGGGCTTCTCATTTGGGAGTGAGGGAAATGGGGAGATACAGGTGGACTGTCTCTTTAAGTGGAGTTGTCCTTCCTGCCAGGTGAACACAGGAGATGCAGCCACATCCTAGACTGAGGCTTATCTCTTTCTCAGCATAGTGGTAGGGTGCAGGTGCGTCTGATACCTTAGGGTGATGCTCTCTGAGTCACAGAGCACTATGTCCAGGAGCAACTCTAACAAAACTCACTAAGGTGCTGGCTCTGCTCCAGATCACATCCTCCAGACTTGCCTTGGGGGGGTTGGGGGGTGTGCTTTGCTGCTTTCTCCAGAGCCAGGAACAACCAGAACTCATCCTCATGGTTCTACTTAGCAAGGAGGAGAGGGGCTTTATCTTATCAAGACATCACAGTGTGCTCCATAAATACATATACATATTGTATGTTAATAAAAAGGCTGTTTTGAACCCTGAGAACCACAAAAAACAAACACAGAGGATTTAAATATGTATCTCAAGAAGACTTTCAAGGCACAAAATTTGTTTCTTTTTGCAATATTATTTAAGTGGCATGTATTAATTGTACATAGTACTGGATTTCATAGCGATGTTTTCATACAAAGTACATACTTTGAACATTCCCATTCCCCCATGGCACCTTCCTCCCCTGCTCCATGTCCTCCCTGTTAGTCCCCTTTGTCCCCTAGTCAGTTTCACAACTACTTTCATGCTGTGTGTGTATGTATATA